CAGATCAATGGCACACCCATGGGGTCACCCATCTCAGGGCTTATCGCAGAGGCAGTCATGCAAAGACTAGAACACACCACCCTCCCCCGCATTCAACCTAAACTGTGGATCTGGTACATAGACGACACATTTGTCATTATTAAACGCAACAAACTGGAAGAGACCCACCACCTCATCAACAACGTATTCATGGGGATTATATTCACGAGAGAAGAAGAAAACAACAATCAGCTTCTGTTTCTGGATGTTGAACGTATGACCAACGGAAAGTTCCAAACCTCAGTATACAGGAAAGCAACCCACGCTGACCAAGCCCTTAACTTCCACAGCAACCACCCCAATGTCCACAAAGAAAGCTGCATTAGGACACTATTTAAATGGACCACCACTCACTGCAACACTCCAGAACTACACAGGAAAGAGGAAGATTACCTGTACAAAATCTTTGCTATGAATGGATATCCCTGCAACTTCCTCCGCAGGTGCCTACTAAATAGACAACAACAAGAGGACACAGGATGTCTTAACACACTGGCCACACTGCCCTACATCAAGAACATATCAGAACTGACAACGAGACTCCTAAGAGGACTGGGAATCATGGTAGCCCACAAGCCCACAGCCACTCTACAAAAAACACTCACAAGGATTAAGACTCCACTCCCACAACATGCAGAACCATAGTAGTTTACAAAATACCATGCAATGACTGCCACAAACATTACATCAGACAGACAGGAAGGAAACCACCCATCAGAATACATGAACATCAGCTAGCAGCAAAATGACATGATGAACTTTCCCTAATATCAGTATACTCGGACAATGAAGACCATCAGATTAACTGGGACAACATAACTATAGTAGTCAAGCCAAACATAGACAAGCACGGGAATTCCTAGAGGAATGGTTGTCAACCCGTAATGCAAACAACAAATACCTTGAGTTGGACCGCATATACAAACTATACAGAACAAAACCGGAAATGACACTACTCACCATAATGGACCGGACAGTATAAATTCCAAGTGGAGTAGAACAACATTGCTTCATCAGAGGCCTCATTGATGATGTTACCTAGCATGGTGACGAAACGTCTGAACAAAAACAAGCCAACTCAGCGAGCAAGCCAACAACCTCAGATAATTATTATGGGGAAATGTGACGGACGTAGATGATCACCTATCAGCAATTCACATGGACTGTCAGCATTTAAAATGTTAACCAATTTATTTGAAGTAGATTTGTGGCTCAGTTCAACAACAGCCAGAGGAATTGAGGGAGTGGCAATGTCACTGAACAAGTAATCTTGAGGGCCACGCAAATGTCTGCTGATATTAATTCAGGATGGAAGTGGCAAATTGAGAGCCAGTCTCAGTCATGGTGCCATGAAATTATCACTGATTATCGGAAAACCAATCTGGTTTATTCATGTCCAGTGGAGAAGGAAATCTGCTCGTCTTGGTTTACCTACATATGACTTTCGGTCTAGGGCAAACTGGTTCAAAAAGTAAAAAAAATTCAGATCAGAAATCAGCTGTTCAACCCTTCGTCCATATCCCTAAAAACCTTTCCTATTCATGTATCCATCCAAATGTCTTTTAAACGTTGTAATTGTACCCTTCTCCACCACTTCCTCAGGAAGTTCATTACATATGCGAACCACTCTCTGTAGAAAAAATCTGCCTCATGTCTTTTTTAAATATCTCTCCTCTCACCTTAAAAATGTGCCCTGTAGTCTTGAAATTCCCCATCTTAGGAAAAAGACAACTACCATCAACTCTATCATGATTTTATAAATTTCTATCAGATCACCTCTCAACCTCCTACGCTGCAGTGAAAGAAGTCCCAGGCTATCCAGTCTTTCTTTAAAACTCAAACCTTCCATATACCTGGCAACATCCTGGTAAATCGTAGGCAGGTAGAACAAGTTTAGTTTGGAATGATGTTCGGCGTGGACTGGTTGGACCAAAGGGTCTGCTTCTGTGCTGTATGACTCTATGACTCTATAATAAGATCATGGTTGATCTGTTTGTGTTCCAATTTCCATATTCCTAATCATCCCCAACAGCCTCCTGCATAAAATAATCAGTCAACCTTGAAAAATATTCAGTGATTCTTCTGTGGGCCCTTTGAGGTAAATCACCCAGGAGGAGTACAGAAATGAAAATTAGGTGGACAGGTCATACTAAGTTAACAGACTCCACCTGAATTTCTTGTGATTTCTGGAGAAACAATCTAACAAGGTCTTTGAGGGATCCACAATGCCTCCCTCCAGATTTTATTTTTCCTCACTGTGTCCTGATAATGCTTAAATTCCTCAAGTGTCAGGAATTAAAATTTTCTGGAGAAAATCAATCTCATGCCTCCAGCACTTGCATCTCTCATCGATTAACCACCATTCCTGCAAACTGAGCTTTGCCTACTTATACTCCTTTCCATTGCAATTAAGAAAGGAATGCTTGATATCCCACGTCACATCAGACTATCAACCTAACTGTTGGAAAACAGGCAGATATTCAGTCTGCCTTGGAACTAAAATTTTTATGCTCGTTAGTCTTTGCTTCTCTTTCTGATTGCCATGATTTATGACAATAGAAAACGAGCTAGTGAAGATAATTATTCTGAGAGAAATGTTTGAAAATGTTCAAATTATCAAGTCAGATCCCCACTATCCTGCTCTCCAATACAGCCTCGTGACCATAGACATGACTGCATACGGGTGTCCATATATAATTTTGAAAGTAGTTTCCAAATGGTGATGATATTGCTACTGATTCTAGATGCCCTTCTTGTTAGTAAACCACAAGTCTCCTCATAGCAGGAATCAAACGTCAAACATCAAGTATACCTACCAACGGTAGTCATGTGCTTGACGACATGCAGAATATACCCTACTCCCCAACACTATGGCTGCTGTATCACTTCCCGACATTGCCTTGCATTTCAGCACTTAGTATGCCACTTGTCGATCTTCTTCTCTGCCTGTAGACCTTCCTCTCAATCTAGACATGTATTGTCGTAATTATAGATTCCACTGAATATTAGCACTACATTGTACCAGTTGGAAACTCTCACCTGGACTCCAGATTGTAAGATATCAATTTTTGATTCTTCCAAGCTTACTTACTTGATTGCAGCATTTGTAAACTTTCTCATTCAAACCAATGATGCTGTAATGCTTCTACTGTTCCAGTTCACCGGCACTCTGCTGAGAGATTTTTAAACTATTCTCTGAACTTTGACTCATCAAGTAAAAGCTGACTATGTTTGCAAAATGCTAAAAAGCTTGACTAGAAAATAGTTAAGATTTAAACTGATAAGTCCCTCCAACTGGATAAACGGGGGATGTTGTGTGAATTCTAAAGTAACAAATGGGAGTAAGCAGAGGATTAAACTCAGAAAGTTAATTATTCTTGAAAGTTATATTGTTTTCAACTAAAATATCTCTTGACAGAAGGAAGGACATTAACGTGGATGAGAAGTGTTCGAAGAATAATATGTACCCATGTGCCACCTGGCTTATGTGGCATTTTACTTCTTGTCCCTCCTTCACTAGTTCACACCAAAATAAATATTAATCAGTGGGGTTATGATGTCAGATCCAGAGAAAATCACTGTAAATGGGTAGAAATGCTCAGTATAGACTTCAGATTGTCAAATAATTTGCTTCTCTGCAGGACCTACTATCCCTCAAAGGTACCTAATGTAGAATATGTTCAAAACTGTATTCTTCAAATTTCTAATCTTCATCATCATTTTTGAGAATTACATTGAACACATATTTCAACTCACTGGGCTCCTGAAACGAATCAAGAACCCGATCACATCACAATTTGGTTGTTGACATCTTTCAAAGTATTTTGGTAGCTGCACAGTTCCTTTGACAAGTAGTCTGATTGTTAAGAAATGTAACTTAAAGCTGAGGCCATCACTTTAAAAATGCTACATATAGACACAATGTCTATCATAGTCAATTTGTTGGATTGTTTCTGAGAGGAATACAACAAAGTTTCACGAGTTTGATCCTTGGGATGAACAATTTGGCGTATGAGTAGAAATCGAGATGACTTGACCAGTACTGTTAAGTAGAAGTGTTCCCATTGAAACATATAATATTTTAAGACCATTCAACAGGCAGATGATTTCTATGCCTGGAGAGTTCAGAACTCGAGTGTATGAGGTTTTTTGGATGTAGATGAGGAGGAATTCTTTTGTTTACAGAGTTATGAATCTTCAAAATTCTCAACCTTCACAGGGATATGATGCTCAGTCATGGAGTACGTTACACACTGAGAGAAATGTTTAGATATCAAGGGAGTCAAGCGATATGAGGGTAGAACAGAAAAGTAGACTTGTGGAATAAAATCAGCCATGATTTTACTCAAGAACAGAAACAGAAGTTTCTGGAAAGGCTCAGCAGGTCTGGTGGCATCTGTGAAGAAAAAAATCAGTGTTAATGTTTTGGGTCCAGTGATCCTTCCTCAGTTCTGAGGAAGGGTCACCAGACCCCAAATGTTAAGTCTGATTTTTTTTCTTCACAGATGCTGCCCAACCTGCTGAGCCTTTCCAGAAACTTCTGTTTCTGTTCTTGATTTACATCATCCACAGTTATTTTGGTTTTTATGATTTTACTCGCGGTTGAAAGAGGTTCAGGAGCCCAACAGCCTCTTCTTGTTTCAAGTTCTCACATTCTAATAGGGGTAAAGAGTCATTTTGAATGATAACCTTAACCTCAAAGTAAAAAGGAAAACAATTATTTGAAATCTTTAGGTTATAGGGAGAAGGTAGGGTAATGGTCCCAACATCACACAGTTTGCGGTACTGGGGAAAGAATGAAAATAACTAAGTCATGATTTTACCATTGTTAATGTGGGGCCAGGTTGATGAAAAGGGGATAGGATGACCTGCTTGGAAATTATAAGGAACCAGAGAAAAGGCAAGGGAGCAGTGTAATGAAAGATAAAAATGCAATTAATTTAATTTCTTCACTCTCGTAGCTACACCATGCATCAAAGCCATCAGCCCTAGTGAAGGTTGGACCACTGGGGGTGCCATGGTCATCATTATTGGGGATAATTTTTTCGATGGATTGCAAGTTCTGTTTGGCACCATGCTTGTTTGGAGTGAGGTAGGTTATCACTGAAGCAATAATTCTTTTTCGGCAAACAAATTTTGATCGACTTTGATAAAATTCATTTAAATGGACAGGTTGGATTAAAAGACGATGGATGAATTTGAGAAATCCTCAAGTATTTTTTGAATGGCCTGTAATTCTGTTCTGAGTTCCATTTCCATTACTCATGGTCTAGTATGCCAGCTATGATTAGGACTTTGAAAGTCTGTTCAGCAATATCCGTTCTTCCTGATGTTTCTATTAGTAATGCCACTGTTTGTTAGGGAACTGGGGCCATTAAGATCAAGAGAATCCCAGGCTCTGAACGAAAAAACTGACAGCATTGTTGCTAAGTTTGCGAATGATACAAAGATGGAGGGACAGTTAGTGTTGAGGAAGTGGGGAGGCTGTAGAGGGATTAAGACAGGCTAGGAGAGTGACAAAGAAGTGGCAGATGTGGGAAAATGTGAAGTTATGCACTTTGGTGAAAAGAATAGAGACATAGACAATTTTCCAAATGGGGAAAGGCTTTGGAAATCTGAAGTACAAAGGGACTTGGCATTCCTAGTCAAGGATTCTCTGAAGATTAACATGCAGGTTCAGGCAGCAGTGAGGAAGGCAAATGCAATGCGTACATTCATTTCGAAATAGCTAGAATACAAGTGCAGAGATGTACTGCTGAGGCTGGATAAGGCTCTGGTCAGACTGCATCTGGAATAGTGTGAGCAATTTTGGGCCTCATTTCTAAGGAAGGATGTGCTGGCATTGGAGGGAATCCACAGGATGTTTACAAGAATGATCCTGGGGATGAAGGGTTTTTCATATGAGGAGTGGTTGATAACTCAGTGTCAGTACAGGATGAGGTTTAGAGGGATGAGGAAATGATCTGATTGAAATTTACAGAACACTGAGAGGCCTGGATATAGTTAAAGTGGCAAAAGTGTTTCCATTAGTAGGAGGGACTAGGATCCAAGGTTACAGCCTCAGAGAACTAAGATGAGGAGGAATTTCTTTAGCCAGCGGATAGTTAATCTGTAGAAGTTATTGCCACAGAGGGTTGTAGAGTTCAAGTCATTCAGTGTGTTTAAAACAAAGATAGGTACGTTCTTGATTGTTAAGGGAATGAAGAGTTATGGGGAGAAGGCAGAAGAATGGGGTTGAGAAAACATATCAGCTATGATTGAATGGCAGAGCAGACTCGATAGACCAAATGGTCTAATTTTTCTATAACTTCTGGTCTAATGGCTCACTCTAATTAAATGATCAGTTAGCGAAATTCAGTAAGATCAGCATAAAGGGAGCTACAATTGGTTGCAGTAGATTACATAGCTGAAATGAAAGCAGTTCATCAGCATTCCCACTTCTGACTAACGCTTACTGACCCCAGCCAGAAACTGAATATGTGAAAATCATGGAAAAATAAGACAGGCCCAAGTTGAAACATCTCACTCCCCAAGTTCACACAGGAAAGATATCACATTGAGTAAGGTACATAAAGTTTGCCAAGTCCTGTGGAACTGTACCCCAGTAAATTAGAGAAGGAGGGGAAATCATTTTGATAAATAAGTGGAATAATTTCAATTCTGTTGTGGAAGGAATCAGCAGTGTCTAGCTAGGCACTCAAAAGTAGGTCCAATTGAAGAATTTGGATGGCTAACAGAAGTATGACATGGCAAAAAGTCACATTTCAAAAAAGTTGGAAGTGAGTCACAGTTAACTTGGTGAGAGCCGCAAAGCAAAATTCAGATCCAAACAGCTTTTCCTTCTCATGCCTTTCAGCTCATTACTCCCCATGCCATTAGAGTACAGACTCCTCCTCGACACATTCCAGGAGTGGTGGAGGTCACACTTTCGTACAAGTCAAAACAATTCTGCAAAGGTGCACCTGGAAGATTCATTTATACAGGTAGGTTGACTTCTTGCAATGTTGGAAAGAGTTTCACAAAACAGAGAAAGAATTGCTCAAGCAGTGGGATGAGTGCTAATGAGATAGGTATAATAGCGTGAGATAGGTATAATAGCATGGAAGTCTCCTCTGTCTGTTGGCTGTGAGGGTTGTCTCAGTCCAAATGTCACACAATCCACAACTATTCACAGCTCAGCACAATTGGACATTAAGTTGGCAATCCTGATCAAGGGAAATTGAAATGCGCCACATTACTGTCATCAGGGATTAATTTCTTGAGATTAGGTATTGTATAATGATTAGAGATAATGAGGGAAAATATTGTTCTGCTGATACTATACTACATTTGATTAAAGAGGATTTGTTATCAATAATAAGAATTTCTAATGCTGCAGTGTTTACTTGAAATGCAGCACAGCACTCAAAAGTAGGTCCAATTGAAGAATTTGGATGGCTAACAGAAGTATGACATGTCAAAAAGTCACATTTCAAAAAAGTTGGAAGTGAGTCACAGTTAACTTGGTGAGAGCCGCAAAGCAAAGTTCAGCACACAGCAGTGAAATGGGTATTGTAAACTTTTGATAAGAGAAAAATGGAAAACAGCATGAAAATCCAAAAAGATCGTTGGCATTAGAATTATAGTTGATTAGTGCTGAAGTGCATGGAATTACAGTACAGCAATACAAAATGTGTTTTCTATTCCTCAAATCAAATCTGGCCACTTTAACTAACAGTTTTTACCCTTTTGTCTGGATGTCTCCTTGTGTCGTTAACCTTATTTTTCAGTCAGTTCTTGGTTTGGAAATGCAACTGCTGGAAGTTTTGGAGCTAGTCTCCAAAAGTATTCCACCTTGTAAAATACTCTTGGAATGGAGGAAAAATAGAGCTACAAAGTTAAACTGAAAGAACTGCAGATGCTGTAAATTGGAGACAAAAATAGAAATTGCTGGAAAAACTCAGCAGATCTGGCAGCATCTGTGGAGAGAAATCGGAGTTAACATTTCGGGTCAAGTAACCCTTCCTCAGAACTCTGCCAGAGTTGGAAAGTTGACAGGCTGGAACTGACCTGTTAAATTATTGGAAATGACTTGAGAATATTTCCAATGGCACATTCATCGATCCACATGTCTGTGCAAAGGTGTACTGAATGTCGGGTGATCCAGTAACCCTGAGAGGAGTTAATTACATGGCAGTGGCTGACTGAACCTTGGAACATAAACAAACAATGGGTCATAGAAAATGAACACAGCAAGGTGTAATAAGACTGGTCAACTGAAAGGTCCTCCATGTGAAACATCAACTCTGTTTCTCTCTCCACGAATACTGTGTCATCTGCTTAACAGTCCAAAATTTTACAAACATACAAATTAGGAGCAGGAGTCAGGCATTCAATCACTTGGAGTTGATCTGATTGTGGCTTCAAATCTACTTTCCTGCTCCTAATTTTTGAACAGGATTTTCTGGCTCTAGTCATGCCACAACGGAAAATATATTTTCAACACCCATCCTGCCTCGTCCCCTTATGACCTGTATGTTTCAATAAGATCACCTCCTATTTTGCTAAACCCCACTGGATACAGAACCAGTCTGTCTAACCTTTCCCACAGCCTAGGTATCAGGTGAGCAGATTTTTTTTCTGAACTGATTTTAAAGTATCTACATATTTTCTTGAAAATAAGGATTACAACTGTGCATTGTAGTCCAAATGTGGCCTCAACAATGTTCTGTACAACTGTAGCAAAGCACTGCTCCCTTTACATTCTATTCCCCCTGCAATAAATATTCCATTTGCTCTCTGACCCACTTGGTGTGCCTGTATATTAATTTTTCTGTCATTCATCTGTGAGGACATGCAGATCCCTTATATTGTAGAATTTTGTTAACTCTATTTTAAAAAATGTCACTTTTCTATTGTTCTTGTCAAAGTCAACAATTTCACACATTCCTGCTTATATTCTACCTACCAATCCTTTACCACTGAACTGACCTATTTATATTTTACCAAGCTTATTGCATATACTTGCGCAGGTAGAATGCCAAATCTTATGAGCAGGAAGTTTTGAAGCCTCTTGTAACCTCTCAGGTTCAAACATCTAGGTAACATATTTGAAATGTATCCAGACAGCACCTTACTTTCTGCAAGTCAGGGGCATCATGTTTCCTCCATTGATCACCCCACCCAACCCTGTAGATGTCTGACACCGGAAAGAAAGTGGCTCAGTATTTCAGCAACATCTCCCTCAATATATATAACACGTAGAAACATAGAAAAGAGGAGCAGGAGGAGGTCATTCGACACCTCGAGCCTGCTCCACCATTCATTATAATCTTAGCTGATCATCGAGCTCAATACCCTAATCCCATCCTCCTACCACTCCTCCTCCCAACCCACCATATCACTTGAATCCTTTAGCCATAGCTATATCTTTTTCCTTCTTGAAAACATATGTTTTGGCCTCAACCACTTTCTATGGGAGTGAATTCGACAGGCACACTATTCTGTGGGTGAAGAAATTTCTCCTCATCTCAGTCCTTATCCTTTTACTATGATCCCTGATTCTGGATTCCCCCAATATTGGGAACACCCTTCCTGAATCTAATCTGTAAAGTTCTCAGGGCTATTGTTGGATGGTAGTGCCTGCCCAACATAAGGCTCCTTGATCCCATCAAGGAGCAAGCAGTGAAGCTGAAAGGAAACCAATGGGACTGCACCTATGCTGAACAGGAGAATGGATATGTACACCTATTGAATACGAAGGCCTCCACTCTGCTGTTGCGAGTGACAAAGTCTTAGAAACATCTCGAGTAAGGGTGGCAGTTTGTGACACTGACAAAACTTTGTTTTTTGATACAGCCATTGGATCCCCTCCCAAATCAGCAGAAAAAAGGAAAGAGCTTCATGCTTTGCGCTGTGCTGAGGAGGAAGCATTGGCACATTCAGAAGATGCACTGTAAAGGCATTCCTACCCACCCTCCAGGGCAGAGACATTCACTATCTAGGTTTGACTTGGAATCACATTCTGATGAGCACAGCACTGACATGGTCCCACAGCTCTGACAGGAAGTTGCAGTTGAGGTCTCTGACACTCTGAGGACTGTTGCAGAACAGGCCCCTACTGAGTTCACTGAAGATGATAAGCATCTGGACTTGGCCATTTATGAGTTGATGGAGATGCATGAATAAACAGGACAACATCTGGCACTGGTGCCCAAGATCTTGCACACTCTGGGGTGAAAGACCAGAGTCTGTCCAAGTAAAATCTGATGTTGTACCGATCTAAATTTCAAACAATCTTTGTTCCGTCAGCAAATTTAGCAATCATATATTCAGCCCCATCACCCGAGTCATTGGCATAGTTTGTTTTGTTCCAGATATCCAGCATCCACAGTATTTTGCTTTCAGTGATCAAAAAGAAGGTTTTATATCACACTGAATGATTTAATCATGTGTTCAGCTGATTATTGCTCTGAACTCATCTTATTTTTACAGTGAATTAATCCAGAGCATTACTTGCAACAGCTACACCACTGAATATGCAGAAAACTGTGAGAGGTTTGAAAAAAATATCCAACAAGTCAGCGACAGACTTCCTGCAAGTCAGGTGTCATTATTCCTAAAAATTAAAAAATAGAATGAAATAGTATTAAGTACCACTCTTGGAAGACCAGCTCATAAGAATTGTTTATATATCCTCTGGGAGCCATGCATCACCTTAGATATGTGAAACCATTGCTTTTGAACAGAGCTGGAAATGGATCCACATGCGTGAGGATTTCATGGACATGCTTTTTGCTAAAATTTAATCAAGGTTATTAGACATGAGGCTGCAAGTTATGGCTCTATTGCTGTGATTCTTTTCTGCTCTGTCTGGCTATGTACTTAAGATAATAGCAACAACTTGTACTTATATAGCACCTTTGAAATGGCAAATCATCCAAAGAGACTTCACAGGAGTGTATCAACACAGATTTTTATGTCAAATCATGTGAGAGATATTAGAATTGACGATGATGAAAAGCCGCTTAAAGGTTTTCTTACTAGAGGAGAAAGAGGTAGAGAAAGTTATGAAGAAAATTTCAAGCTGCTGAAGGCAATACTGTTAATGCTTGAATGATGAAAAGTGGAGATTCACAAAGTTGCAGAAGTTGAAAAACTCTGAAGGATTGCAGAGATGGTGCGAGGGAGGGTGTTAAGTTCATTGAGGAATTTTAAAATGCAGTCCCTGTTGTGCATAACCTTCTGGAGATCAGCCAGCCATTGTGGTGAAGGTTGGACAGGGCTTTCTGCAAGTTTGGATACAAGCAGCAGAATTTTGGATGAACTCAAATTTACAGAAGGTGCAGGGTGGGCATTCAGCGACAAAACATTGAAATTGTCTAATCTAGATCGTAACTACTATTTGTTCTGTCCCAGAATGCTTTCAAAGCAATATTACCATAAAATTGGAAAATAAAGATGCATAAACAGAGACAAAAATGACAAATACAAAACACAGCATGAATTATAGATGGAACAAAATCAGGAGTAAGACAGCAGATTGAAATGCAGAAAAAAATGTAAAGATCTAATTGTAAAGCATTAAAACTCAAAGTAACAACAAAACAGAAACAGGCAGAGGAGCTTGATTTTATACACACAGTAAGTGATGGGAAGTAAGAGGAATGATGCACAGCAATGGAAACAATCACTGTGGGAACAAGTCCAATTCTCAGGATAATGCTACGGCTTTCTCAGGCTCAATCGTGTATGGATTAGTTGATTTTCTTCCAGTTGAAATTTGCATTATTAAAGTCCTAAAGCAAACATTAACGCTCCCCATGGAGGATTAAGTGATGCTAAGTATAGTATTGACTATATTCAATGAGCTGCTCTCAGTCCAATTCCCCAATGCACACATCAGCTTGTCAAATATTTAACTTCATGCCATCCTGTAGTTATTAAATAAAATGTAATATAAATCTGACAAGAAATTCAGATACACTTCCCATTTAATTTGATG